ATGAACAATGTAAGGGGTTAGCCTTGCATTTTCATCAAAATTGGGCAAAATTTGATTTTTCTGAAAAATCAAAAATGTAAGGGGTTAGCCTTGTATTTTTATCAAATTTGGGCAAAATTTGACTTTTTCTGGAATATCAAAAATGTAAGGGGTAAGCCTTGCATTTTTTCAAAATTGGGCAAAATTTGACTTTTTCTGAAAATTACAAAAAGGTAAGGGGTTAGCCTTGCATTTTTATCAAAATTGAGCAAAATTTGACTTTTTCTGGAAATTAACAAATGCAAGGGGTAAGCCTTGCATTTTTATCAAAATTGAGCAAAATTTTGCTTTTTCTGAAAAAGTAACAATGTAAGGGGTTAGCCTTGCATTTTCATCAAAATTGGGCAAAATTTGACTTTTTCTGGAATATCAAAAATGTAAGGGGTTAGGCCAAAAGTAAAAATAGTCGGTCTCTGGTCATCGCGCGCGTCGATTTTAATCATGCGTGTCAACCTTTTTTTTCCTTCAAATTGTCCGCGGTAGCTACAACAGCGCCCTCTTTTGCCGCAACTTCTTAATTTTTTGTACCAAGGAATGGGGAAACCGCACCAAGGCAAATGATCGAGGACACCGATGTATATGAGGACACAAAAAGCAAAAATTAGTACCCACCTTGTCTGTACAATTCATGCTAAATAAAAAAAAAAAGCCCCAAAAAACAAACCGAATCGCAGCATCAGTTCCGGAACTTTGGTCTGACCAGAGACCAACTACTTTTTTTTTGGCCTAACAGCAGGATTTTGATCTGTGCAATTGATGTCAAGTGTTTTTCGTGGCATTTTGAATAATGAAATGGACCAAATATTCAAATTCGGTGTAAAGGTTGTGTTTCTTCTGTTTGGAATGTTTGAATTTTAAACCAGCAGCAGTGGGTATGTATGAATTCAATGCAAAAAACAAAAATCTAAACTTTTCCATATTGCGAATACTATATTTCCAAAATATACGAAAGGACACACTAATGAAAAGATTGGGATTTTTTAAATGAACTTCTTTTATTTTTCATATATTTTACAATGAATTCTATAATATCTTCAACAACAAAATATTTCAAACAAATTCGGAGACCAGGAAAAACATCACAAGCAAGGCTTTTGATTGGACAGTCACCACGTTCAGAAAATCAGAGATATTAATTAACTAATAATATTCATGTTTAGTGCAAACATACAAAGTTGCTTTTTCTCAAATAAATTTAGATTTGACAAAAAGATGTTCCACGCTTCCATGTAAAAAACAAAAATAGTAAAATAATCAAACAATAAAAATAATCAGAACACACCTGTACCAATTTACCATGATACTGGAAAAAGCTATCTACCCTTAGAAGATACTAAAAATATACCTGTTTTTTTTCAAACAACGACTATTTTAAATTAAATAACTAAATGTATATACGGGATGATTGCACATAATGGAAGTTCAAAAAAAGTCAAGAGTACTAAGGTGATGATAAAATAAGGCTAAAGAACCATTCTCTGAATAAAATTATTAAATAAAATCACAATTTGCAAGAACATCTTGGAATGCTTTCTACCAAAGAAAAAGAAAGCTAACTTTGAAAAATTTATCTCAGCAACTTGCATGCTTTTTTTCTTAGTAAAGCTTAAACAAGATCTGCCTTCATTGTAAACAAGATAACAAATTAATAGGACAAACCTTTCTTTTTTTATCTTCAAGTTATCCCCAACATAACTCTCCTAGCAACAACAAAAAAGTTAGGAAAAATAAGTTGCCAAGAAAGTGGAAGGGATATTTTGAGGAGCCAAAATTACCATTTTCAAGGATCTGTTGGATGTCTTGACAAATTAACCCTAACCCCCTAGGCCCTCTGGCTAGGATGCAACCTCAATCCTGCAAAATCCTCCAATTGCCACCAAGAAAAAAATTTGATTCAGCCTCAATCCTCCAAAATCATCCGTTATTTCTTAAATTTGGTCCGTGGAGGGTGACCACTGCCTCAATCCTCCAAAATCTTCTGCCAATTACTGCTTATGGTTTGAGGCAGTGGGAATGGCGTTTAGAAGCAGTGCGGATGAAATTTGAGAAAAACACAGGGCAGATTTATGCATGGCTGAACGTAACCAATGCAGGATATGGCCTACTGGCTTGACGTAATGCATCCTCCACAAAAAGCGATACATCTTTGCCATTCATCCTCAATCCTCTAAAATCATCCAAAACCGGCAGGAGGATTTTGGAGGATTGAGGAGGGTTAGGGTTACACACCATATCAGAATATTCCTTTGAATAAATATGATCACATTCACTTAATATGGAATCATGTCAATAAAGTCTATGTTCAGAAAGTGCATTTAAAAAAAAGGAATCACAAAAGCTTTGTCATTTGTCAGGATGTCACAAATCTTTCACAAATCTGGTGTCTCTATTATCCTCTTCAATCATCAACTGTGCTTTAAGCACTGACTCATACTGGGGCACTTAACACTATGCAAATATGTGACATCGCAGAAAGCATTCATGCTGAAAATGCACAGAAGATGCATGCATTGTAAATCGTAACTATAAATTTTGATGCAAATGTTTTGTTGAGTCAAAGTTGCTGCACATACACGTATGTTGTTGCACATATGTGCCCACACAAAAACTTTAAGTCAAAATCATTAGCTCTATCTGACACTTGTGTACAAAAGACTGGCCAGGGTATGGACCCTGTGCACAAGGAACCCCTTACTTGTCACAAGTTTTAGAGCAAAGTGAATACAAATGGTTATGGCAGACATAACACTGAAACTTGAAAATGAACACTCGACGTGAAATCTGCTTCACTTTCACTTTTGCTTGAAGTTTAAACTCCAATGAGAATGTTTCATCAGAGGCACTAGACATTACTTTGTTTTAATATATTTTGTCAATACAGAAATTAACACAAAATTCTTGGGAAAAATTGCACGTTGACCCACTATGGGTCATTTGGAATACATTTTGAAGTTTTCATTTCTTATATATAATATATTCATTAGTTGCTTCCAGCAATTATATATAAACAATTCATCGCTCACTTTCAAAAAAATTAGATTACCAATTCTCATTCAATAAAACTTGGCTATTATTTGTAAAAGGGTATTTGCTAAATAGATTCAAATTTCGAATTACACCTCATTCATGGTAGCCATTTATGGTAACCATTTTTTTTTGCTAAGCAAAATATTGCTGTAGTAAGCAAAATTGGTGGGTTGATATTCTCTGAAATTGGCCCACTTCAATTTTTTTGCTTCCTTTAAACAACTGCTTTATGTAACTTAAATTAATTTTCTCAGTAGTATTATTACATTTCTGCCATTTTGACACAAACCCGCTTCAATCTAGAACTCCTTACTTGTATCCTGTTTTTCTGCTGATATATAATCCGTCCTGGATCAAGCCTAACGTCAACACTTATCTTTCTACTTGAAGTAATTATCTTTTTCTCAGATTCCTTTTTGCAAACTGGTACACGGTACCCTGTGGAGACATGTGCATAAAAGGGAACAAAAGATTGTACACGTCTCCACAGGGCAATTTCTATAGGTGAATACGTCTCCACAAGGTTATCACGAAATAGATATATGGATTTTACTCAAAAAGTAGGAATTTCAAAGGTGTGTTGATCCATCCCAAATTGAAGTATTTTATGTAAGGGATATTAAATCCAAATTTCAGCCCAGGAAATTAATTCTGGTTAAAATAGGAGCATTTTGAAACTACACCTTCAAACTCTAAAATTTGAGTACACGAGAACAAAGAAATGACTCCACAAGGATACAAATTCCAGTATACATGTCCCTTCTTTGTGTAGCCTTCACCCCGTGTGGCCCTTAAACAGGGCCTTGTGATGGGGGAGGGGGCACTCATTAATACATCACATCTTTTGTCTATGTTCAGCAAATTAGTGCTGTTTTAACATTACTGGGTGATGCATAGTTTCTACTCATGCAAAGTACCTTGTTTCAAGTAACCCTAAACAGAATTAATGGAAGCAACATTTTAAGATCATCCTCCCGAGTCCAACAACTTCATGCTACAACTGGCTCATTCTATACATTTGGGGTCCACTTCTTTCCCTGTCCCTGTTACATCTGACATGTTTGATTTGATAATTCTGATGCACTCCTTAATGCAGTCGTCCTAAAAGAGTTATTACGAATAGCAAATCACCTACCCAACAAATAACGGAGGAACGCTGTGGTCCAATGGTTACAGCGTTCAACTCATGTGCCGTGGCGCGTGGGTTCTAACCCTGACGGGGAAAATGGTGCTTGTGTTCTTGGGCAAGACGCTTTACTACAATTGCCTCTCTCCACCCAAGAATACATATGGGTACCTGTGAAGGTAGACACCAGAATTCGCTTTTTTTTCAATATTAAATCTCAACATAAGTAAGTCGTTTTGAGCATCACATTAAAGAAAAAAGACCAGGCTTTCCAATACTTTTTGTTTCATCTCATTTGCTTTTGTCAATCCAGAGATAACTCCAGTTTACTACGGAACACAAAAATCGAGTTTGTGCCACTTTCTGGTTGAGTGAGAACGGTGAAAGAATTAGTTAAACAAAACGTTAATCACACTTGAACAGATTTGAAATTCAAAGAGGGGATTAACTTCATAAAGAAACTTTAAAAGGTGCGAAAACAGTTACGTAATGGTGGAAATGATCTTCAGTTTCTTTTGCCAAGTTGCAATCTTTTGTGAGCTTCAAGACAGCATGGCACAGTACTCGAAACAACTCTGCCCATGCATAAAAGTGGCACAAAATCGATTTTGGTGTATCACACTAAATTGATTATATCTCTGCATTGACAAAAGCAAATAAGATCAAACAAACACTATTGGAAAGCCCAGTCTTTGTTCTTTAATATTATGCCAAGTAAGAATGACTTATTTTGAAATGTCATAGTTAACCAATTTTTTTTTCTGATTGTACCATTTTTTTTTAGACAGGCTGTATATAAAGCACCACATATTAATAAATAAAAAAAATCCTTTGAAGTCATTCTTAATGATACAAGAATGGTCAGTAACAAAAATCCGAGGTCACAAGAAAGGAAAAATGTCACACTTTGGACCCTAAATTTATAGAATGGCCAATCTTGAAATGTCCATCTAGGTATGGCTGAAATGACAGAGATGTCACATAATCTTCTGAATCGAAAGAATTGCTGATACATTACTCAACAATAACTGCTTTCTAAATCTTAAAAAGCTTAGACTCATGCAAGCTACCGTCTTCACTAAATATGTAAGTACACAGCACTGGAAATTGTTACCAAGAAGTGTTCTACATCACCTAAGGAAACAATTGACATATTTTTGGTATAACATGAAATCCTGAGCTGTGTTTGAAGTACTGGAAGTAACAATGCTAACATGGTTTGTGACATCTGTTTTAAGAGTTTCAAAAATGAATAGTACCACACTTCTGTGTACAGTCGACCAATTAACTGCAAGGGCATGTAGTCATGACAATTGAAAAACCACAGGTGAAGTGGTTTTCAGTGGTGGATCCAGGTTGGTAAAATGCAGACAGACAATTGAAAACGATGGCTGCAGCCCCTCCCCCTAATGCTAATGATTTGTTAAGTGCGCAAAATAAATACCACTTTTTAGAATCTGCCCGCCAGTTTCACCCCCCTTGAGCTGTTTCCCAGCTGTTGGTTGACACAGCGTCTATCCTTGGGGTTCAGTCCGTTCTCATGTCCCCGATCCCCTGCTTTATACAGACCCACTTTGAGCCGGGTCCGCGTTCGGTCCTTTTCGCTTTTCAGCCGACGGGCAGGGAAGGGATTGTAAGCCTGGACAGTTTTGTTCTTGGCGGACGATGGCCCTCTCTCTTCGTCGTCGTTGTTGTCGGCCGAGTCCGAGTCCGAGTCCGAGCACGTGGACGCGTTGAGCCACGGCCGGTAGGCGTTGGACTGGCCGTACATCTTAGGGTTGCCCGTGCCTTCCACGGCACTCTGACCCAGCTCTGGCTTGTAGGCCTCCGTGGCAAAGTTGAACCGTCGCTCCTGGACTAACGGGCTCACTGTACCCGTCTCTCTGGATGGGGCCGCCAATTTGGACCGCGACGGCTCATCTGCGACGCTTCTCCTACGTTCCGTGTCCATTGTTGATTCCCTCCTGTCATCTCCCGGTTTCTCTCCGTGCGACACAGAGCCATTCTGCTCAGAATGGCCGACAGCTGGATCCGCAGTATCGTCCAATGTAATGTTACAGGAATCCTCAGCAAGCTTGCATTTACCCCCACTAGCTAAATGTTGGGGACTCCCGAAGTCAATAAGTAAACCGACTGGTGGTTCAACGGACACTGTTGCTAATTCATCATCTTCATCCTTCTCTACATTATCCTCCTCCCTAGCATTTTCCTCAGCTGCACACTCTGTCTCATTCTGAGATCCAACATTCTCTTCCGGCTCCCCTTCTAGTTTTACCGGTCTTGCTTCTTCCGTCCTCGTCCCGTTGGTGTCATCATCGATGGTCTCTGTCACAGATTGGCTGCTTCCGTGCCCTCCTATACTGCTTGTGGACGGAGACTTTTGATTGGCAATCTTTGTCGGAACGCCGACTGCGACCTTGCGATTCTTTTTGCCCAGACCTGTAAACAAAGAGTGTACATTTGGTAACTGTTATTGGTATCACTGGCCCAAAAATCAGAACTGCGGGGAATTGTGGTGTTGAAAGTTTCACTGCTGTGTCAATAGCTGACATTTTTTGAGTTACTTTGTCTACTAATATACACTGTTAAAATGGGAACACACAAAAACCCACATGGTTACAATCAATAAGTTAGTTTTGCACTTGTACTCTATCTGCCCTTTTGAGTCACTCTTGATGGTCTCTTAGTATTTTTTGTTGGGGGGGGGGGTTTGCTTTTACCAAGCCAGTTTGACAAAGAACCTACTGTTACAAACTGTCTACTTGCCATGTTTCCCGATGAGTAGGTGGTTTATTGCTGATGGTGAGTCTAGGCTGGTGGAGAAGTTCCTCTTGGGTTCCTTATGCCTCCGTCCTGGGAGCAATCAAACATACCTTACATATTACAAATGGTAGCAATCGACATACCGATCCAGCAAAATGAGGCTTAAATCACTTTGTGAGTTACTCACGCCAATTTAGAACATTAAATTTGCTTTTTTTTTAAAATTGTGAAAATTTGTGAAAGCACCAGAGTTGTAGTCAAGTCAATCACAAGTAAAATCAAAAGGCAAATCAGAGGTCAAATTCACAGTCAAATTTAAAGTCAATCACAAGTCAAATCACAAGGAAAATCATATTTAAACACAACTCCATCACAAGTCCTTCTCAAGTGAAATCCCAAGTCAAATCACAGATCAACTGCTAGTCCATCACAAGTCAAATCACCAAAAAGGCCACGAGTAACAGGAGATACCGATGACAACGAAATGCCTTTGACAGAGTCAACTACCCAGTGTTTTGTAGTCGAGTCCATCACAAGTCTTCACAAATTCTCACAAGTCCATCACAAGTCCATCGCAAGTCCATCGCAAGTCCATCGCAAGTCCATCGCAAGTCCATCGCAAGTCCATCGCAAGTCCACCGCAAGTCCACCGCAAGTCCACCGCAAGTCCACCACAAGTCGTTCACAAGTCGTTCACAAGTCGTTCACAAGTCGTTCACAAGTCGTTCACAAGTCGTTCACAAGTCGTTCACAAGTCCACCACAAGTCCACCACAAGTCCACCACAAGTCCACCACAAGTCAATCACAAGTCCACCACAAGTCCACCACAAGTCCACCACAAGTCCACCACAAGTCCACCACAAGTCAATCACAAGTCCACCACAAGTCCACCACAAGTCCACCACAAGTCCACCACAAGTCCACCACAAGTCAATCACAAGTCCACCACAAGTCCACCACAAGTCCTCCAGTCTCAAGTCAAGTCACAAGCTATTCAAATGAATTGTAACCAACGCATTCCTTTGTTATCCTCCCCTGTTACAAGTACAGTGTAACGCTGCTATACCGAACGCCGCTATACCGAATGTTCCGCTATACCGAACATCATCCTAGGCTCCCGGTTTTAATGTACAAAACGTACCGAACATTGTTGTTAAAAAAAGTCAACAGATTAACAAAAATTCTACCGGTTGTACATGTATTAAACACTACTTGGGCCACTTTTAATTCCCGAACATCAAACGACCCATAGTTACATCGTGTTTGAATGTTGAAGAGTTAGATGAATATTATTCCCACAAGGAAAAGAAGGGAAAACCACTCGTGAGAAATGTCGGTTATGGTCAAAAGAGGGTACCGGCGGTCAAAATCGCTATACCAAACGATCGTTATTACGAACACTTTCTGTGGATCCAACGATGTTCATTATAGCGGTGTTCCACTGTACTTGTGATTTACTTATGTGAAAGGACTTGTGATGGACTTGTGGTGGGCTTGACTACAACACTGTGACTAGCATGGGTAAGAAAATACTCTATGGTTAATGGTTCACCATAATTCTTGCTCAAACACTAAGAACGCACTCACAGTGAACAAAAGATTCACCCATTTCTGTCCTTGGGGGTTGGGAAATGTCAGTACTTGTCTACTGTCTGGTGTTACTTTTCCCACTATGAAAATGAATGTACCTCTGTCCTCTTCCTTGTTGCCAGAGCTGTAGATGACGTGGGCCTGCTGTTGCCTTCTCTGTATGCGCCAGTACTGCTTCTTGAGGGCGTAGATGTCCGTGTTCATTCTCTCCAGCATTGCCGTGGACAGCCTCTGGCTCAGGCCGTCCTCACTGGAGCTGGCTCCGTACGCACCAGGACTGACCCGGGTGATGTCGCTGGGACTGACGGCCGACTGCTCGCCTTTCTCACCTGCAATAATTAGTCAGAATTTTTAACAATCCAGTTCATTGAGCACATGTGATTTTTTTTGTAGACATATGTCTTTTTTTAAGAAATCTGTACTGTTCTATGAAGAACAAGTTAACTCAATTGACTGAAATTTTGTTTTTGAGTGTTTTAGTTAACAGGTTTATTCAATATGACAAACTTATTCATTTCGACAAAAACTAACAATTGCTAAGCTTTTTTTTAAAAACTTACAGCACAAGACTAACATGTACAGCACACTAGTGTGAAAAGTATATAAGTAAATGTAATAAAAAATCCTTGACCATTGCTTTGAAAAAACAAAGGCTCTTGGTATCTGACTATTTGTTTTTGTATTATACTTAGGCGCAACTCAAACCTACAATTCTTAAAATTAGTCAGACTAAGCCAGCTGAGTTATTCTAGGCTTGTCCAGTTCTATTCAATCCCTTATCACTACTACACTCTGATCAGGACCCTACCCAAACCATCTGGGAGGGAGTGCTTAATAAAAAACATCAAATTTCATCGCGCAAAATAGAGTTGATTGCGGCGCTCACTGCTTTGTCAGATCTGAACCAACCAGCCCTGGGTTCGGTTACTGAGTGATTACTACACTAGTGGGCAGGAGGTCAAGGGTTCGAGTCCCACCCGAATTTTACAATCCTGTAAAAAATTTCTCTCAAGCCCTGTGACAGCACTGACAGTAATTATGAAAATACGTCAATGAAGGGCAAAACCCAATATAAGATTCTTAATTTAAGGATATCCCATACCTGCTTCCAAACGGCCCCTGGAGGGCGACGACGGTATCGGGAACAAGCTGGTGAAGCAGGTCAGCATGATCTCATCCTCGTCCAGATCACCCTCCTCGTCGCTCTTCCCTCCTTCCTTCTTACTCCCTCCGTGCCCGGTGTCCCCGCCCCTTCCTCCCCCAGCCCCGCCCCTCCCTTTGGCTCCTCCCTCGGACTTCTCGGGGAGGGAGCCCAGGGGGGCGAAGGGGGTGATGCTGAACATGTACTTCTCCCGGATCTCGTTCAGATGGGGGAAGGGAAACGGTGCCAGGGAGTAAATGGTCTGTTGAGAAATCAGATTAATAAAAAAAAAAAAAATTCTCAAAATTCTCTCTTTAACCCTCCCATGCAAACATACATTCTGTGCCAAGTTGTCCTTGTGGTCAAAATCAATCAAGTTACTGTTTTTGCCCCGTAAGAATTCCCAGCCTACATAAAGCAGGATTGACTGGCTGGGACTGATTAAGTAACTTGATACAGCTATGCTTTGACTCCAGGTGAGTGATAAAACAGCTGTGACCACAACTTGCCTGCTTTGTCTGTTGACTTAGTTTGACTAGACATAGTTAGTGCTTGCTTGACATGTGATCTGACTGCTGCTGACCAGCCTTTGTTATTAGCAGGGGAAGTGGAAGTGAATTTTGACTGTCTGTGACTGCTTAATATAGCGGGAGGGTTAATGGCAAAATATAAAATGAACTCGCTAAGTGTACAAAATAATCTCAACAAGAATGTGATACATCATAGTGCGACTATTAAAACCCGGATAAAGCTGGTCAATCTTTGACAAAGTTAAGAGGAATTCCATCTTTAACACTAATTCCATCAGAGTGATATCATACAACCATTTTGTTTTTCATGATCTTGAGGCATACAGAACTGTAAAGCCAGACAACCCCAATCCACCCTGGCCGTTACTCACTACACTGCACCAAAAACCGCCCAAGCAATACACGGTTTATGGATAAATTTATTGGTGAAAAAACACATGTACAATGTAATACAATGCAGAATAGGTGCTTGTGGGTAAACCTGTAGCAGACAGAATTTGGTGAGGCTAAACAAGTTTACAACACCTCAACCACAGATTCTGTATCTTGATTGGCCAGGAGCAAGTAATATGGTATTCGCTATTTTTGCTATCTTGCTGTGCACGGCCAAAAGTACTATATCCATAGTAACCAAAGTACTATACCTGTAGCAACCAAAGTACTATATATGCATAAATGCATGTATGGGTATGGGTGTGCGCATTGTTCCCAAGCGCTAGCGTGCGCCACGTACCTGGGTTCAACATTTTGCGAAGGGGTAGTTTGGAAAAAGTGCAGGAAAATTTTCAACCAATTTTGTATTCGAATTGAAGTACATTTTCATTATATTTAGATTAAATTACTTAGTTATTGCTTAAAATTATGCAGAATCTGTGGGAGAGGTGTTAAATTTAAACAAATATTGACGGCTTTATCTTGAAGTGTAGTAAAACTTGCCTCCCTCTGTGATCCATGGAGCATTCTATTTTCCCTCGGTTTCGCCTCGGAAAAAATAGAATGCTTCATGATTCACCTCGGGAGGCTAGTTTCACAACACCACTCAAGAGAGTCAATATTTTGTATAATATATGACCTACATACAGAGTATAACCGAAGACCTGCAGAATTCATGCAAATACTAAAGGACATTAATTTGAACATAAATTTTGAGACAAAAACAAACACACCAAATCTTCTCAATAGTGTTGAAGTTGAGTCCATCACAAGTCCTTCGGCCTCAAGTCAAGTCACAAGCTGTTCAAATGAACCGTCACAAACGAATTGTCCACCCGCTGTTGCTTGCGAATTGACTTATAAAAGGACTTTTTTTTTACCGGAATTGTGATGGACTTGTGATGGACTCTACTACAACAATGCGTTTCCAAAGTGAATTCGATGTATCCGAGCCTTTTCTCCTTTACCTGGATGAGTTCGTCTCCGTCGATGATCTCTCCCTTCAGCATCTTGTTGCCTAGGAGACCCATCGTGCTGTAGAACTCATCCGCACTCTCCACCTCCATCAGTTTACTGCAGGGGACAAAGCAATAAGAGAGATTTAAGCATGAGAATGGTTGGATGCTTGCGCACCGGATGCAGTCATCAATTTAGTGACGTCATCTAGTGACGTCACATGCAACTCACCTTCTGCTACGCGTGTACAATTTGTTATATTGCTTGCTACATGTCAGTTTGAAAATTGTCAATATTCTTCTTTTTCTGTCAATTTTTTTTCCATCATGTATGATTTGATTGAGAGAGGATGAAATGCTCAACATGTATTTAAAATCAATCTCAGCCACAGAAACGAGGCTTCCATCAGATGCTGCCACTGGTAACGGTTCCTTATAGCTAAGCGGATATTTACAAGTAGGCATACGATGCGTCAGATAAAAAACAACGAAATCGATGATAACGTATAACAAATAGCTAAACACTGCCTGTGTTAATCTGTTCGCATGCCGAATCTCTCCAATATGATTTATCCAGGGTGTTTGGGCAACAAAAGAATCTAAATGGTTCTGGAGCCAGGTTTTACAAAATGCCCCGGTGAAGCGTGGTTCTAGGCAGGATTTACACGCACAGTGGTCAAAGTGAGAAGCCTGCCAAGTGTGACAAGATCCCACAAGTCAAACTGCCTCAGAGTCTACGGAAGCCAACTGCAACAGGATACGACACTGGCATTGTTCAATGGGATTGGCTCCCAATACTGTCTCAGAATTGACAGTTTACGCACTGGTGTTGATGGCCCAGTGCAACAGGGTCCCACCAAACTGTTACGCCGGTGACACTGTGTCGCATCTGACGGGATTCAAGTTAATACTCACTCGGCCAGTTTGGCCCAGATCGCCATGGCCACCCGAAGTAGGATCTCCGAGCCTTCTAGGAAGATACTGTCCCAGACACGGAGTACCAGCGGCTTGGGAAGACAGGTAGCAAAGAGGGTCAGGAACCACTGCATGGTGAAGACGTTGGTCAGAGGGGGCTCGTAGCTACCTGGAAGATGAGAAAAAGGGAGGGCAGGAAGGTGGAATGGTGTGAGATTTCTGTATACACCAGAAACCCTACCCAACAGATACAATACCAAAGTCACAAGTGCCTTTTCTTTACATCAAAGGTGAGTCAGGTTCAATGGCGTAGCAGTACTTTCCTAGCCTTCCACTGCTGTGACCCGGGTTCGAGTCCTGCCTGTGTCGACATGTGGATTGGGTTTTCAGTCCCTACCTGATTCCATGGGTTTTCCCTAGACTATTCTTCTGGGGTTTTCCTCCCATCTCTAAAACTGTAATTGGTTCTCATTGTCTTCTCTTTACAGGTGTCTTCAGGCTTGCTAGCTACAGTGCCAAGGGAGCTTTTGAGGAATCCTTGGTGTATTTACCAGAAATAAATAATAATAGTAACAATGCTTGCTTTTTCATCTTGACTGTACTCAGAAAATGTGTGTGCTAGTATTTCAAAGAAATTTATTGCTGGATGCTTTAGGTTTTAATGAAATTCTGTGTGACCTCCGAGCAATTATTATTATGCTCGTCCAAACACTAAAATGTCGTTCTAACCGTCGTTGCTGGTCTTTTGAAGTTTGTCCAGGTGCTCGGCCAACTCTGGCAGCTTGAAATGCAGCAGCTCCCGAAACACCGCCATGTCCACGGACAGCGCCCTCAAGTTATTGGCAAAGTAGCTGTCTGGCAGAACGTGGTCTATTAGGAATATCATGACCTGTTGTTGAGAAAGTACAAAGAGAATGGGAAATGACAAAGTAATGAGAAACTTGCTGTTCCTTTCACACTGCTCTATTCAAAATACATCAAGCAGTAATTTCAAATGTTTTCCTAGCTTGCATGGGGCATCTCCATGTTAATTTGCATGCAAATTTATGCTAATTTCTGGACCACTTGGGGGCAACCAGGTTCGTTAGTAAAAACGTCATACACGCGTGCGCACCACTGTTTATTAGTGCACACCACTGATTACTAGCGCCCATTAGATCAACAATCAAGTTGCTTCAGCTTCCGGTTCCGATGGTTCCAATGCTACTTAATGGCCAGTGGGCGTGGTTTAAACTGAACTGACGTCACACTAACGAACCAGATTTCTCAGAGCTGTAACACACAGCCGCAGAAAATATCCGCTCCGTTCACAAGTACCCCCTCACCGGCAAAGGAAGTACAGTTGGGGGTGCGCGGCCACTGCGTGTACATAGAACAAATCCCCTGGTGTACGTGCGTCACACACAAGGAACGATGCGCGTCAACCAGCGAAATGTACCGCCCATGGGACGTCGTTGCTAGGTAAAAGGGCGCCCTCTTTTGGTAGCGCACAGAGCTCATAACTCAGCAGGGCCCAATTTCATGGCTCTGCTTACCATAAATGAAAAATCCCTGCTAACTGTAGTAGAAAATTAAGTGCTTACGTTTAAAGCACATTTTACAGGTTAGCGAGGAATTTTGGCTTCTGCACGTGCATACATCCCATAACTAAGGATTCTGTGCTTACAGGGAGGGTCAATAATTAACGTAATTTTCCTGGTAGCACTGTTACCACAAACTGGTGATCGTAAGCCTGGAATTCTGTGGTTAGCAAGCCATGAAATTGGGCCCAGATTTATGGACCAAGCAAAATTCAGCTGTGAACCCACAAGTCACAAGCAAAATACATTGCATAAATACATGACATTATGACCGTTAACCTGTTTGTTGGTTACCAAATATTTTCGTGCTTATCAGATTTATTCTCTCAGCAGCTCTGTCAAATCGTCCCAACGTCCCAATTTCACTGGTATGATCCCATTTTACATCCCATTTTCACTGGTCAATTTTGCATTTAGTACTTATGTGTTACTTTCTTAGAGTTTAGGCACTCTCCTGAAGACAGTCAGAGCATACTGACCAGAACGTCGAGTTTATACCTCTGGTTCTTTTCAGAACCATTCTCTTAGTTTGAGAAATTATTCGCACATGGCGTTTCCGCAAACCTTTCATTCCTTAGTACCTCCATCATGCAAAGCCTCAAATCTTACTTCACTGGTATGCTTAGCAGAAAATATTGCTCAGCAGATTCCAAGTGCCAAGCACAAATCACGTGATATGCAGAAGACTCTGTATGACAAATTTGTTGGTAACCTGTTTTTGCTGAGCAAATATTTTATGTGCTTAGCAGATGTCTGTTCTCAGCAGCACCGCGAAATTGGGCCCAGATTTTCCCTCTTTTTTTTCTGGGTAAGAACAATGTGTTCCCAATTAAACGTTAATGGTATTCCAAGTAGAACATTCCGATCACTCAGGGTGTGGAGAAATGTTGTGCGTATCACCTTTTTTTTCTAAATGGTTGTCTCAAATGTTTCTTCCAATAGACTTTACTGTATCATCCCAAAACCGGTCTACTGTTACTCTGTTATGTGTTATGTAATCGTTCTTCTAAGCAAGCAGCAGGCAGCCTTCGGTAGTTGTGGTTTTCCCTAGCGTACAGCATTTGCAAAGCCATGGTTGTGCAAGTTTCTAAATTCGGTGTCGGTAACACTTTCAGGTGTTTAGACAGAAGTTCCTCTGGAGAAACCACTTAAAAATTGTTTGGAAGTTTCAGGAAACTTCAAGAATTGACAGCCCTGTTGTAAACTTTCATGACATCAAGATTAAAAAAAAAAAAATTACTTTTTTTCATTTGAATGCTGTACAGATGGCCAACATCTGTGTTCATGTAAATGTCACTGATTACCATCAATGATCAACTTTCAATGACGCACTATTGCAGGATTCCAGCATAATGTACACTTCTTTCAAATATCTAAAGGTAATGATGCAACAAGGACAATTTCCATAAATCAATCACACACATACTTCACAACAGTGTGGACCCTTTGTGAGACAGCTGGCTTTGCAAATCTGTGTAATCTTAACCAAACAACAAAGGGAGCTCTTCACATTATCTATGTTCTAGAAAAATGTGTTCCCTAAATTTGTCAAAAAATGTAACTTTCAGGTAATCTCTAAAAATCATTATAAAACAAACAATCCAACAGCGACTTAAGCATGGTTATATATCTCTGACAAAAGAAAATTAATTAACTAAGTTAAAGATGATTCCCCGTGTTATTTACGTGTTTCAATCCCGAAAAAGTTATTCATTTTCTAAATAGCTATTTCTCTAGCAATATAAAAGTTATTCACTTTTGAATGAGACATCGACCGAAAAAAATCACCAATAATTCCGTTCTTGAGGGGGTAGGCTGGTTCCACCCTAAAATCAGTATCGCTAATGTACAAACCAGGAGTCAGTCTGCTCGCAAAGCAGATGTGTTTGTGCCCTTTCAGAGGGTTGCGGACGTCCAAAAAAGGAAGTGGAAAACAAAGAGGTTTTTCAGTGTGAATTAAACATACAAGTTTAAAAATTTATTAACAGAAAACAAAAAATCAATTTTTGTTGGAGAGCAAGGGGAACACAACTACAAACACTGAAACAATGACATCAAGCCAATATAATAGCTTGTAGTCTCTAGAGGGCGACATTTTGAGCCAATACACTGGCCGTGTCCGTATCGCTCGGCTACGGCTGGAAATAACACACCGGTCTGCGGGAAGTGGCTGCAGCCATATGTGCATGTGTATAATTTCTATCAGTAGCCAAGTAATTCTGAAACAGCCACTGTCTCGCTGTACATTGAAGTGCCTACCTTGAGAGCATCGTCCTCAACGCGCTCCATGACCTCTAGAATCAGCGCAGCGAGGACGTTGAACCCCTGGCAGTATCCGACGGCCTTGTTCCAGCGGGCGTAGGCCAGCAGGACCCGTTTGAGGACCACGCGGTCGTCCTCCGCCTCCTGCCCACAGAAGCCACTGCAGCCGGTACGGTGCAAGTCCTGCAGGGCAAAGGTGGACAGTTTTGAGCAATGTATTAACCCTGTAATCTGTCCTGAATCCTCGAAATGCTGTACAGACACTGGGCAGATCACTTACACTTCAAAGGCCCTTTCAGACCAACCAAAATTTACATTCTGGACCCGGGACAAACCCACGAGATTTTGGCAACCGCTTTCAAACTGGCAAGCTCAAACAGGGGTTTAAAGGAGGTCCTGCACTCTGCACGGTTAAAATCTAATCAGGGAGCAGGGTAGAGAGGCTCTACTTGGGTAGAAATCCAGCAACCTATGAACACACTGGTTAAATGTGATGCATGCCTTGTCAACTTGTGATCAATTGGACTTGGCTCTGCTGACAGTGGATCCAGGGTTGATCCAGCTCCTAGCTTTAACCCTAGCTATGCAGCGGTAGTGTACCGGTAGGTTTGATTAAAACATCTGTGCTGATTACCGCATCCTTGACCAAGTGGTTCTTAACCCTCCCTATATTTAAGAGGTCACCAATGGTCAAAATGTTTGTATCTCACCTCCTGGCATATTGTGTACAAACCAATGGGGGTCTTGACCAATATTGACCCAAGTAATAACCAGGCTGACAATGCATGTTTCCATAGGAGGGTTAATGAACATGATCTGTTATGAGTCCTTATAGTAGAATCCGGCAAACAGAATTGGTAGCCGTAACTGCGGTTCCAGTGTCACGTTCACGCGCGTGCTGGACACGTTCTTAAAGAAGAGGCGCGAGCGCATTTTGGTATTCCTATTGGTCAAATGAGCCCGGTGTGTGTGCCTACTCCCCGAGTGTGACTCGCACCAGCTGGGTGCCACCGCACAAAATGGCTGCCGCCGGATTTGTCTATAGATGCTCTAAGACTAGGTCATGTAAAGCACGTACCTCTACCGCACTGCTCAGATGTGCTTATGGGGTACAGGAGCAAGAGACCCCTGTGCCTATATTTTTGTAGCCCTTACCCTGATTGGCTTTAAGCCTTGTAAATAGGTGACTTCCAAGGAAAGAAAAAGAAAAGAAAAAGAAAAGACACCCACCTTGACAATCTGGACACCCAGAGTGTCATCATCAGGGTTACTGCGGTCATTGAAGGTGAATTTGACCGTCTTGGGCCAGTCCAGCTTGAGGTGTTTGATGTGTCGGTTGGCCAGGCTCAACCAGACCGACTTGCGGAATTCCTGGGGGAGGCCTTTGGGTAGTCGGCCCACGGCCCGCAGAGCGTCGTACCACTGAATTATTGATGAGGCAGAAGGAATATTAGTCAAGTTGCTTGAGGGTGATATGTGCTTCCTATACATGCTCTAGGTAGAAGAAGCCTACATGTATCTAGGCTTGCCTGTCCCAAGGGCACACAGAAATTGTATGCTCAGAATTAAAATGGCCCTCATTCATATTTTCAGGCAAATAAAAAAATGTCTTTGAATTGATAAGAAGTTATTCATCGCGCTTCAATGACGTCAAGTTGTGGGATATATACAGTAACTGACACATGATGAGGGATTAAGAGGCACTTGATAAAATGTAGGCATTTGATATTAACCGTAACGATCCTTAAGGCCAAAAAAAAAAAGGCTCCGGTTTCTGGTATGCGCGCGCGTCGCCGTAGCCATGCGCGTCGGCAAAATGAAAAAGTTTTTTTTTCAATAAAAGATGATGTCTCAAAACCGCCAAACTCACTGGTTTGACTGGAATTCTGCTGCTGCACAATTTTAACGTGTTTTTAGATGGGGTTATGATCGAGAATAAGCTTTATGTGGCCTCTCTGGACTCCCATATATTTGCACTAAGTTTAGTCGGGCACCATTTGCAGTCATCAGCCGACATTTGAAGCCAAAAAAAAAAAAACAGGTAAAAAAAAAAAAAAGCCGCGTCGCCGCACCACTTTTGGGGCAAGCTCCATACCAGAAACTGGAGACTTTTTTTTTTGGCCTAACCAGCCAAACTCCAACACCAGGGTTTGTTGGAATCTGTTAGGATGAGTACTGCACTAGTAAACTGACTGTGCTTTAGGTGGGATTAGGCATACCACAAATAAACAGAGTCCAACTGTTTACGTGCACAGTTTACCATATGGTGTTGGGATTTGCAAGGATGAAAATGGTTCCTAGTAAATCACCCTAGGGAGTTAGGGTTAATGAACAAGTACATGTCCCGTTTTGCGGACCTCTATGAAGAATGGTGAGTTTGCGAAATCTTTTGTCTTATGGACACAAATTTGTCGTTTTAAACAGTTAACAATCTTCACCCGTATTGCCAGAACTGCATGTATTACATATATTGCACAAATAAATACTAACAAAAAAGAAGTTGGCATTTCCCTCGAAAAAAAGGGGGGGGGGGGCGGAGACAAATTTTCAATTATCCATATTGGTCTAAATGCACAACTTTCAGTTTGGAATGACTTTAAATAATGCAGTGTACCTGACGAAATGCTCTCTTTCCAGGCAGTGGCTCGATGCTGAATTTAAGTCTTGCATCCACACCTTGAAAGAAGTAAAGAAGAAAGAATATAATTCACACACAAAATGGAAAGGGGAAATCTGAAAAGTGTAACGAAAAAACACTCTCTGAAGGACTATTAACGTGCTGCGCAGTAATTGTTAACCCTCCTACTTGCCTTCTGTACATCACAACCCTCCGAGTTTTGCAAAACCACTTTTGCCCTTGAGTTTAGCACCCACACTTGTGTTAAAGGGGATATACATCATTTGCTTTTGCTGTAATTTTCAGAAATGGATGGAATTGGGGGGTTGGAAATATACAGCAAATATAGTTACACTGACTTTTTTGATGTTTTGGGTTCGAAAATGCTATAAAAACCAAGAAAAACAATCATTTTCCTGTAGTCTGGTTCCCTGACTCCATATAAGAAGAAACAGAGCAGTTTACATACATTGGGGAATTGTAAGGTCAGGGAACCAGTCTAGCTGGCTTGTACCCGTTCATAGGTGTGTAATCGATTGCAAACAAGTGCGATGGTCAATTGGGGCCAGTATTTGAAAAAAAAGCCTTTTTTTTCCAATGCTGGTCGGCCGATCAGCGTTGGAAATTGATACAAAAATACCGCTTTTCTTGAAAATGACAGTATACCAGGTGCCATGATTTTACAGGATGCTTTACACTGTCATTCACTAACAGTCCAGCAAGTTATTTCAAAATGATTTGGTAGTTTTACTTTTTGATGTTTGCAAATGTTGTATTTTCCCTTTAAAGTAATTGTGTCACACAGAGAGTCAATGCACACAAAAAACAGCACTGTGGAGAGGAGTGAAGCGTGACCAATCTGCCTGCTTGCCCTGAGCTTAACCACACAAATGAATAATGCAGAGATTTCAAGCGTGTTCTGTTATCCATACTCCACAGAAGATTACCGGACAGGAATTTGAAGTGTGGGTGCCAACATGGCCAAAACTAATACGTGCAAGACTTAGAAGGGCTGTGAAAGTGTAGAAGACTGTGATGATTTAATAAAAAATGTGTATGCCATAAAAAGCGTTCAATAAAGCAGCTTTTGAGATAGCAGGCATATTGACATACATGTATTTTGAAGACGTCTGCATTTGTAAGCAGGAGGTCATGGGTTCGAAGCCCCGCCCAAGTAAGCTTTTTTTTTCACAAGTCCTTGAAAAGCACCGAGTATAAAGTGCTTATTATTTTAAACCAGTGAAGGGCAAACCCATTGTTGAATTAATATCTCCAGACGCAAAATTCAATCATATAAACAAACTTATTTGAATGCTCCTTACGTCTTTTCTGAGAGACGGCCTGCAACACTGCCGTCAGGACGTCCTGGTTCTTGTTCAGCTTGGCGATGTAGCGGTCTCGTCGCTTCAGCTGCTTGATCAGCCGGCCCGAGAGCACAGCCACAGTGTGCTGCAGATCCCTCACCATTTCTTGCAACTCGTGGATACCTTGGGGATGAACAAAAAGGGAGAAAGTTCAATTACAGGTACAGGTAAATTTGTGCACCCTTACAAGTGGGCCTCTGACTACTACATTTTTGGAATCGATTGCAATTGACCTATCGGGGTAGAATCACGTTAGAATCGCGTCAACACATCTTGTGAATTATATTATTCAATTACATGATGTACAAATGGATGCGGAACGCGCAAAATCTGAGACAAACAAAACTTAGTGTACAGAAACTCCATAGGGTTGTCTAAGGGGTGTGGCTAACTCGCAAACGGTGATAGGTCAATTCCATCCAGGAGTTAGATTCCATTCAGCATCGTCTCCATTTACCAGTACATGTACATGTACTAGCTAAAGCACAGGGAAAACCTAAACAGTGTTCTAGCCAGGGTGAAATGATAGCGTAGGGGTAATTTTGGTTCGGCGACTAATGCGAGCGCGGAGCGCGAAGCCCTTACGGCGTGGGATCCGGGGCCCGCTAAATGCCCCGAAAAAATTTGGACTCTAGATGCTCTGTGGTGCAATCTGAGGCGATTCCCTGCCACTTTCCCCGGATTTTTTTTTAGCAGAAGTGTTTAAAATTATAAGAAATTTTGTTTTATTTGTTTCAATGATTAATACCCTTGCTCCTGTACAGTTTCTTCTGTTTTCAAATTTTAGATTACGTTTACAATGTATAAGTTGTTCCAAGATCGATGCTTTCTGATGTTTAACCATTTTAAATAGTTCCTCAATGTTTTATAAAAAATTGGGATTTACTTTGTCAATATTAAGTGTGAGAACAAATCGCATGAACATTTCATATTTCAAGAAGCCTTGTGTTGTGTAGCGCTGCCGTAGTAGCAGTAGTTCCGATTTTAAATTTGTAAATAAAACCATCCGATCGGCAGGGAGAGAAATTGTAAAACCATGGAGGTCTCAGACATAAAAAGTCGTCGGCGATTGCAATTTCAATATACTACAACACAATGTGAAGGAGAAATCTCATTTTTGTTATGTTAAAAAATATAATTGTAGATAATGATGATGAGAAATAATCACCGGGAATTGCTTCCTATCTCGGCCGCGGCCGGCCCCGGCCGGCCCGGCGTGCGGGCGCGGCGCGGGCCAGCCCACACCGGCTACGCCGGCGAACTACGCGACCAAATTTCCCTCAGCATTTGAGAAAGCTACGCATTCGTGGAGCGCTAAAAAACTTGTTTTGTTGCAATACTTGCTGATTGGTTTTGTCCTAAGAACAAACAGATCCGTTTTTACTACCAAACTTATTGAACTGTTATTATCAGCAACGAGTAGTGTAGTCAAAAATCCAAATTTTCGACAGCGACATTCTTCGAGAAGAATTCTTCACGTGCGGCCATCTTTGGGGACGGATCCATTGATATCGTAGGGGTGCTTAACCTTTCTTTGGACATCGTTTCTCGAATAAATCCTTTACGAAAATTATGTTCCGACGTTGAAGGACTTATTTTCAAACAGTTATATGTTTCGGACTTGATAAAAAGTATTATTTATAATTTTAAAACAGTTGAAATGCTTGTAAATATTGACCTTAGGAAAGCACACCCGATAGCGCAAAATGGTGTGGTCCACGTACGTCCTTACGGAGCGCTGTATCTACGCAGCACAAAACAGAACGTGCTTATTGCTATCATAGCGAATGCGTGTGGCGCAGCATCACGGTAGGGGTATCGTACGGGGTACGTGCGGTGGGATCGTTGTTTATTTTTCGCTGTGTCGTACGGCCAGTGCGCAATGCTCAAAGCCGCTGCGTTTGTATACGAACAAACGGCAGATATTTTTTTTTCGCAACCAAAATTTATAGCGTAGCGGTAGCGTAGCGGCGCGATTTAAGCGTAGCGCTTATTTCCGAAAGCGTAGCGGGTGCTAGCGCTATTTGATGCCTGGCTAGAACACTGAACCTAAACAATATCAACTAGAGATCTATGTCTGTTTGCAACAGAACATAGGGCTTTTGCGCATTATGCTTTTTTTTTTTAATCAAAAACACGTCCCAGACTATGCATGTAAAACGTTTCAAAGTACATTGTATACGGTACAATAATTTTTTTATTTAGCATGTAGCGTATATTATCGTTCAATTTTAAATCAGACGTGCCAGACTACCTTCGACGCAATTTTGACCAATTTGGACTGATAGTTTTCTCAATATGAGACTATAAAAAATGCATCTTTATGATAGCGCCACATGCCTTACGATGACGTCATCTTGATAACACTTGTCAATGCACATTTTTGCATTGTGGTCTTGGTTTGTACCAAGCTTGAAGTCAATCCAATGAAAGGACGTGTTAAATTTTGGAAGCGGAATGAAATTGTAAATATTAAAAAATATATTAAAACCATGCGATGACGTCATGGCGACGTCATTTTGGATTTTGCATACCAGTACCATTATCTAGCTATCCACCTAGTTTCATGACGATCAAACCTTCCCTTATACATATATGTGTTAAAAAACCCGCATTTTTGATGACGTCACGATGACCTCACACATTTTTCAAAATTGTGTACATTTACCTATTACCTAACAGACATAATACAAAAGAATTTTTAATTTTGCATGTTGCGTTCAAGAGATAAGGCTTAAAGGTCCAGAAATTCAAAAAAATCATATAAAATCTCACGATGACGTCATCATGACATCACCTCAATTTTTACCTATAACACATCCCGGTCTACCTACATACCAAGTTTCAACCCAATCGGACTTACAGTTCTCTAGATATACGGTCTTAAAGTTTGCACATTTGTGATGACGTCATGTGACCCATGGTGACGTCATGATGACGTCACTCTTCGGGACACAACTTTGCTATAGGGACTATGCCTATGCTGACTTTGAATGATGTACGACAAAGAATAATGCCAAAAGAGGTGACAAGAAGAAGAAGAAGAAAGAAAAATCTTAACAAAAAGAAAGGTTCGCCAATAAAGTACTAAAAATGACTGTATGCTGGGTGCAAACTCTCTTTAAACCTTAACTCCCTAGCATGATTCACTAGGAACCATACCCATCCTGGCGAATTCCAACACCATGGGAACTGCACACATATATTTCTGACTTTGATTCTGGAGGTGTGCCAACCCAATGTAAAAGACTGTCAGTTTAGGGGTACAGTACCCATCCTGACAGATTCCAACGATACATGCTGTTGGGGTTTGATGGGTTGAGTTCTGTTTACCACATAAAATTTGCTATGAAGTGTCTGGAAGTACTACAAGTTTTGTTGACCGCATGTGGACACGGGTCATTCTATAAATTTGGGGTCCACATTTTTTTCCCTGTCCCTGTTACACCAGCCATCTATGATTTTGTAATTCTGATGCATTCCTTTATGCAGTCGTCCTCTAAGAAGCAAACTACATGTACCTATCCAAGTCATTCATACGGTAGCTATCCCTAACAGTCCTGAATCCTCCAATTTCAATACGATTTTGCACACCCCCTAGGGAGATAGGGTTAATGATACTTGCATGGAGTGCCATGGTAACAGGGAAGGAAAAAATGTCACACGTTAGACCCTAAATTTATAGAATGGCCCACTTGCCAGGCAAAAAAATACATCTAAACTTCAAGACTCTTGGAATCCCTAAACACTAATTTTGAAGGAAATAATACACACACTTGGAAGTTACAGGACTGTAAGTATAAACTAACTGCTCCTAAGATGCTGAGATATTTTAATCAGTGTATATGTAGAATCCTTTCATCTCAAGCCTGTCACTTTGCACTCACTCCTCACAACCAATCTACATGCATCCACGATCCTCTCAAACTGCAGTACATGTATGTCTCTACCGGTATTTGTACACTGCTAGTGCCTTTGAAAAAGTGTACCCACTTCCCAAATTTCCTACAAATCTTCATGATCTGAAATGATGAAATAAAAGCACATATAGTCTACACATTTTACCTTCGTTGAAAAACACACCCTCATCGCTGGAAGGGGAATCCGTAAAAGCCATTTTTTTTTGGCAGACCAAAAACCGGTAGTCCCTTTTCCTAACTATACAACCACACCTTGTGAAGCGGAGCCCTGTTACCGTACATGTCACTGCACCAGACATGCCAGAGTTTACCTCATGGTTTTTTTTTTCAATTAGAGCAGGAGAATTCATCGCCCACACTTCGGAAGATTTCAAAGGAAAGAAAGGCAGCTTCCCCTCCCACACAACAAAACAGAGGGGGGTAGGTCTGAATAGAGGGGGGGGGGGGGGGATCTGACCCTGCATGGAGGCTTCGATGGTCGGCATTGTAGACTATAAACCAGGGGTCTGGTGCCAATGTGATACTTGTAACACAACAAAAGCATTCCGTGAAGCCATGGGAGTGGAAAGTACAAAGGTGCAGTAGCTGATGAAAGGACTGGTAGCTTTTCAGAGTCAGATTTTGCAAAATGCTTTAATGACCTGGCCCAATTTCATGAAAATGTCAATCCAGTCTGCTAATCACCAAAGCACTGCTGCTACTACATGTACCGTAGATTACCAGTCAAAGTGCAGTGCGATGTACAGTGCGTACACTGCCTGGGAGTGGTTCCAGACTGGATTTTGCTTAGCACGTAAACTTGCTGTAAGAATATTGTCTACTAAGAAGCTTCCTGAAGTTAGGTGAAGGTATGTATACATACATGTAGAGTATGTAGGTCAGAAAGTCTAGAAACAACTTGGATAATAATACAGACTCCAACTGTGATCAACTATAAATAGGTTCTTTCACACTATCAAAAATCTCTGTGTTGGAACCGGGTCCGACACTGAGATTTCAGGAACCCCTTTTATGCTAGCAAGAATCCAACACGGCTTCTACAAATGTACATGGGTCCAGCGCTCTACACAGGTAGAATCCATCCTGGTCGGGACCAGTGTTGACAGACTGGGTAGAAAATCCAAACTCTACAGCTAACCTCTGCACCCTTTCTACCCGTGTTTGATGACTGCTGCCCCTTTCTACCAATGTGCAATGACCCCT